CCCCTTATCCCATCCACAATGACCCCGTCCCAACCCCTGGCGTGGACTCTGCTGCTGCCATGGCCGACGCTCTCCTCACACAGCTCCCCCACCCCCCCAATACTGGAGGACTATTTGGTCAGGCTCAACAAGACTGAAGCTACAAGTCTTGTGGACACACTCCCCACCCCACTAGACTTGGACCCCTCCCTCAGCTACATTTGCTTGGGGGCTTCCCACATCCCTTCTTTTACCCCCTCTCTTACTCCCCCATCACAGCCGCTTGCCTCCCTGCTGCCTGCCCCACCCTAGAGACCTCATTTGTTTTTCCTTTTTTCCCTGCTGCAGTCCTCCCTCAGCCTCCCAATCTGCACACAGCTCCTTTGCCTGCCCCTCCCAGACCCCAGTGAGTGTGCTGTGGTGACTGCCCTGCCATCTCAGCAGTTGCCTTGCCCTGTGCTCCACCAGCCCCACCCTCCTATTGCTTCTCTTTGCTCCCTCCCCACAGCCTCCCATTAGTCCCCTGCCTACCACCCACTGCACCCTGGTCCCCTCCCTAAGCACACATCTCCCCTCCCTCCCTTCTTAGTTAGTGACCCCCCATTCACTGCACTCCCTGTTGATGTTGCTTGCCATTGACCAGTGGCCAGCACCTCTGCCCTGCACCTGTAACCTTGTCCATTGTCCTATCCCACTAGAGCCCTCTTCCTCTTCCTCCAGCCTTGCAGGGAGGCAGGGTTGCCTTCTCTGCCTCCCCCCTTCCCCCCGGTTTCCCCATTCATGCCCTTCTACTACTGACAACCTTCCTAACTGCATAAAACCTAGTGGGAGAGAGTGGTAGCTTTCCCCTCCTCCCCCCACTCGTCCTTCCCACTGCAGCCCTGCCCTCTCCTTGGCACGCTCATCCCCTGCCTCCATCTTTGCAGGGAGCAGTGGCCACCTTTCCCACCTTCCCCAACAATCCTCGTCCCTCTTTCTAGCACCCTCCTTCACTGTCTCCAGGAGAGCAGGCATGAGTGGCTTCTGCCCCACTTTCTCCTCGGTGGCTCACCCACATTCTCTCCTCATTGTCGCCCTCCCTCCCTGCATATGGTCCAGAGGGAGAGAGTGGGTGCTTTCCTCAGTTTACACCTCATGCTACCCCTGTGTCCCTGTCCCTCTCCATAAAGACCCTTGCCTGGCTTCCTTCCCCTCTTCTCTGGGGCCCTGCCCCTGCTCCACCCCGTCTCTGAGGCCTCACCCTGCTCGTTCTGTTGCCCTTCCTCCCTGAATCTCAATTACTTTCCCCAGGCTGGGATAGGGGTGCAGGCTCTAGTTTTGGGTGTGTGGCAAATGCCCTATCCCCTAGGCCAGTGTTTCTCAAGCTTTTTTTTTTTTAATAAAATACCCCTTTTTCGAAAAAAAATTGGTAAGTGCCCCCAGTACCTACAGTTTTCTCAAACACACATTTTTTAACTGTTGTAACACAGTTGTTTAAACAACTTAATTGTAGCTGGGTGGATGATGAAATATTTGGGTGTAAAAAGTACAAAAATAATACAAATGGTGTAAAACTTAAAACAAAACTTCAGTTTTCTCCAAATTTCAGTTGTGTTGATGTGCCCCCAGGCTTCTTTTTGGTGCCCCTGTGTGTTGAGGGATACTGCTCTAGGCCACTCCCACTCCAGGGTCCACTCTGCCTTGGGGGAGGGGGGGCTTGACCTGTGTCTGGTTGCTCCCAGGATGGTACAAAAATAATACAAATGGTGTAAAACTTAAAACAAAACTTCAGTTTTCTCCAAATTTCAGTTGTGTTGATGTGCCCCCAGGCTTCTTTTTGGTGCCCCTGTGTGTTGAGGGATACTGCTCTAGGCCACTCCCACTCCAGGGTCCACTCTGCCTTGGGGGAGGGGGGGCTTGACCTGTGTCTGGTTGCTCCCAGGATG